CGTGGAACACGAAGTGGACGGGGTGGTTGTAGAACTTGGTGATGGTCCTGAGCGTGGTGCAGTCGTCGGGGTCCACGAAGGCCAGGTCCTTGACGTAGAGCACGTCCACGATGCCCGCGCGCTCCTCCTCGTACACGGGGATCCGCGTGTAGCCGCTCTCCATGATCTCCGACATGGTGTCGAAGTCCAGCACCGCGTCGGCGCGGATCATGAAGCAGTTGGCCAGCGGCGTCATCACGTCCTCCACCGTCTTGGTGCGCAGTTCGAGCGCCCCTTGGATCATGTTCAGCTCCTCCTTGTCCAGGTCGTTGTAGGGCTCCGTCACCCTGAGCATCTCCACCAGCTTCTCCCGGTTGTAGACGGTGCCGATCTCCTGGCCCAGGAGCACGTCCAGCAGCTTGCTGACCGGGAAGGAGAGCGGGAAGGTGAGCAGCATGAAGAGCTTGGTGACCATGATGGTGTTGGCGCCCACGGCCAGTCCGTGGCGGGAACACAGCGCCTGGGGCACGATCTCGCCGAAGATCACGATCCCCACGGTGGAGGCGGCCACCGCGCCCAGCCCCGAGCCCGTCATGTCGTCCAGCAGGATGGTGAGCGTGGTGTTGACCAGCACGTTGCCCAGCAACAGCGAGCAGAGCAGGTAGTTGCCCTTGCGGCGGATGGGCTCGATCTTGCGCGCGTGCTTGCGCTCGCGCTCCGTGCCGCAGCTCTGCACGATGCGCAGCTCCATGGGGTCCAGCGCCATCAGGCCCAGGTTCAGCCCGCTGAACATCCCGGAGAGCGCGAGCAGGCACGCGATCAGGATCACCTCCAGCCACGTGGGCATGAGCGGCTTCTTCTCCTCGAGCACGAGCACGCGCCCGTCGCTGCCCCCCAGCAGCTCCCAGACAACAACAGGGTCTCCATCACCGTCCAAAACACCGTCCAGTTCTCCTCCACCGTCCACCGCGTACGCGTCCACCGCGTCCACCGCGCGCGCGCGCGGCGTGCACAGCGCGTACTGCTTGCGCGGCTCGCTCTTGCGCAGCGGCTTCACGTGCACGCGCAGCAAACCCGACGTGCCCCAGCGGTCGCTCACGTTCACGAAGTGGTCGATGGTGAAGTCCTTGGTGAAGTCCGTGCACGCGCGGGCCGCGTTGGCCGCTTTTGCCGCGTCTCTTTCCGCTTCTCTTACCGCGTCTATTACCGCGTCTCTTTCCGCTCCCGATGCGTCCCTTTCCGCGTCTCTTTCCGCGTCCCTTTCCGCGTCCCTTTCCGCGTCTTCCGCCACCTCCGTGAACCGGACCTGCGTCCACGCGCCCGCGTGCAGCCGCAGCCCGTAGAGGCGCAGCGTCACGGTGCTGTGCTCGGTCACCTGGATGACGCCGTCCTCACCGGTGCCCGCCGGTCTGTCGCTCCTCTCCAGCCGCATCCCGAGCACCTGGGTCCCGCTTCCTCCTCCTCCTCCTCCTGCTCCTGCTCCTGGTCCTGCTCCTGGTCCTGGTCCTCCTCCTGGTCCTGCACCTCCTCCCGCTCCGCTCCCCGCCGCGTGCGTGCGCCCGCCCGCGGCGCCCCACAGGCAGATGATGACGGTGAGAACGTAGCCCTGCTGCCCGCTCCATTCTGTCGCCATCTTTGTTTCTCTGCCCGGCCCGGCCTGACGTCACTCACTCATGTCCGAGCCGGCCCCGCCCCCCCCCGGTCCTCCCCTACACCCCCCCCACCCCCGTTAAAACACCGCCTACCGGACACCGGCAGGTATAGGATAGGGGCTAATAAGCGTCTAAGGCGCGTTTACGCACGCGCGCAAGGTCACGCTCCGTGGACGGGGCTTCTCTTTGATGGGGCATCCCCACACACACACACACACACACACACACACACACACACACA